ATGACAGATTTTCTAACACTAAAAGTTGTCAACTTTAACAATTAATATCTCGCTTCGCGAGACAGAGCTGCGACTTTGACCGAGGAAAAAGTTGTTTCTCGTTAAAAAAACGCATCAAATGAGATTAATTTTATTGATTTTGGAGGTGGGGCAGCTATACTGAAGAATTACCATATATTTATTATTTGTATCCTTTCTCAGCCTGTATTTCCGAAACTATTTGAGTCCGGCCCTGATATGTATATATGAAATGACTCGGGAAGACATCCCAAACAACACATTTAAAAATAAAGCAAATCGGAGAGGAAGCCCCTTTTATGCATAATTACCCATTTTTTTTCTATCGGTGCAGAATGACAAGACAGAAGAAAAAGAATTATGAACACCTGAAATTAGCACGAAAGAACTTGAGCGCAAAGTGTCTGCGCCTGATGCGAATAATGTGAAGTCACTTTGTAACACACAGTTGCGTGGCAGTAAATGTCTCCGTTAATAAATTTTGCGGTCGCTTTATGATTAGCAACTGCATAAATATTTATAATAAATAATACGAGGGAACTTTATAATTGCGATATTAAATTTTCCCCGATATTCGATATAACCGTACACGTTCGACGGCCGTAATCCCGCGTCGACACCAGCGGTGCCGTCAAAGACCGTGTACATACACGTTAAAAGAAGCGTACGGTGTCCATTTGAATACAAACCACAACTACGGTTACCGCGCGCAAGGCAGTAAAGCGAATTGCAACACGTATACCGCGTATGGGCAAAGGAAGGCTTCCCCGTTCGTAATTTATGTTCTTGCTCTTAATGCGCTACTAGCAATGATTAAAACGTAATTTCCACGGATAGGAAGAAATACGGCGTACTTGCGTTTTCCTTCGCTTTGATTTACGGCGCTTTATTTTTCCTCGTCATGATTTATACCGGCGATCGTTCTCTCGCGAAACACGACGTCCGATTCACTCCACGCTTTATCGAATAAAATCTAACAGCATCCGCACGCACGGGCGATTCCTTAGAAACCCAGCGTCACATTGTTCAAGTGCGGAGAGCGCGCTTTCAGTTTGTATCAAAAGCGGATTTCAAAAGTTACATTTTCACTGCTCCGAGACATTATTTTGTACAAATCTTATTAATCGCCGACTCTCAAAGTATCAATGCTCAAACAGACTTACCCCGCAGCACGCAGGAACCGGTAACTCTTCGTCCGCGGGCTCTCTCGGCGCGTTTCCCTCTTCCCTCGCGATGATCGTCGACTCCGAGTTGAGATCCGTCGCGTTCTCGGTTACCTCCGGCACTTCTGCTATCAACGTGTCGCTCGAGTCGCACTTGTTCAGATTCGTGTCCTCCGTCGTCAGTGTCTCGAGCGAGACCGCCGCGTCCTTTTTCACCTCATCGCGGAAAGGCTCCGGTGCCCTCGTTGGGGTTTTCCCGTCCGAGACGGGCTGCTCCGGATTCGCGTCTCCCGCGGCCTCGTACAGAGACGTCCTGCTTCTGCCAAGATCGGCCCGACGGTCCTCCTCCAATAGCCTGGTGAGAGCCTCGCGCGGGGTCTCCTCAAGGTTCTCGCCTCTCGAGAAATTCTCCTCGAGCGTTTCAGGCGCGGGATCTTCGGCGGGCTCGGCGTCGCGGGCCGCCCCCTCGAGTCTCTCTTCGGGGAATTCCGTGTACTTCTCCGGAGGCTCGTCACGATCCTCCTGCTGACTCGCGCAGGTTGGAACGTCCTCCAAGTACCACGAAGTGCAGTTCTCCTGGCGTCTCTTCTCCGTGACGCTCTCATCACCTTTCGACAACGCGCCCTTGCACTTCTTCAGGTAGCTCTTCACCTTCTTCGTCTTGCTCTTCCTGGTCTCCTGGCTGCGCGGCAAAGTGTTGTCCACGGTATCGCTCGCGTCCGCGGATATTGCTTCCGCAGGCGGTTTCGATTGCGCTTTCTCGGAACTATGCGCGTCTCTCACCTTGGGGTCGGCGGTATCGTCCAAGAGGACGCACGGGCCCTGGTGATCAGCAGCCAGGGTCCACGTCTCTTCCTTCTCCGGCGGCCGGCGGTCCGCCGGTATCACCTACAACGAGAACAAATGTACGTTATTCCCGAGGAAGATTAACATAAAAACAATTAAATTCATCTAGGTTCTTTAATCGCTCGCATTCTCCATTGTCGTTACGTCTATCATCGTAAATCTAGCGAATCGGTGGCGCACAATTTCCCACAATACATTCGCGTCTCGCGACAGATCAATTTACATAATCGGAGCTGAAAAAATGCCGATTGCGCGCGATATAAGACTTGCGTCAGCCTGAAGGCGAGCTGTGCGATACGGCGCGACCGGTCACTCGATCGCTTTCATAATAACCCGTTAAATCGGCCAGATACAACTGTGTCGGCGGCGATCGTTGTTCGACCAGCCGCCGTAAGACGCGACGTAAAACAATAGGCTTGTAATAAATATCGACGAGAAACGACGACGACAGCGGCGGTGTCGCCGTTAGCTAATATCAACCCTAAGCGGCGCATAACGATGACACTTTACGCCGCGGCTACGCGAGGCGTGCGCCCATAATACCACCGGGAATACAACTTCCTCCCGTAATATCTCCGATTTCATAATGCGCCGAGCCCCTTGGTTTCCTGCTCTCTGAAATACGGCGATGCGCCGCTCCCGAGGACGTGAGTCATCGCGCGCGTGAAACGCGAATGTAAAGTGCTCCAGCTACCTCCCCTGCTCGCACTGCTAAGGCACGAGATAACCGAGAGGTGGGATCGGAGTCCCTCGCGAGTATAATAAGAGCAGAAGAGGCGGTCGTGGATATTTGTGACGATCGTATCGTTAAAAAAAATATATACTCTCTCTAAGAGTCAATCATTATCACTGAAAACAGTCGTAAGTACAGCACTGAATTATTCAGCGAATCAGTGATAATCCACTGATTACCCGAGTCGAAATTTTTTTACTATTTTCACATTTTTAAGGATAATATACACCTACATAGACCAGCAATATACTTTGATGACATTATATTTTTTACTCCTCCCTTAATGGCTGCTCATTCGAAACTGTTTAAAAATTAATGAGTCTGTGGCAGTAAATTCATAATGTCATTTCTGAAATTATTACGATGAAATTATAAAGATAAATAAATCAAATTTGTTTTGTTAAAAATGATTGGTCATCGATAAATGCAAGTACAAAGCAAGTAATAAATGCATTTCTATCTTCTTGCAGCTTTCGTTTCTTGCAAACTGTGACTCTCTAGAAGCGCTTAATTAACTATTTTTACGTATGATTCAGCAGAACCTTGACAATGACGTGATCATTCATTTCGCGGAATCTGCGAAATAGATGATCACGTCACTGTCAAGGTTCCGCGATCCCATCTTCAGGCTTCCACGTAAGCGCGCGAAAGTTGCAGACGAATATCCGTTCCCGAGTAAACCTCGGCCTAGCGCTAGGTTTGCATGTTTTTGCGGCGGGCAAAAATAGCCGAGCGCGAGCGGATCGACAGCGGCCAGAGCTGGTTTTATATCGTTCTCTGCGAGAGGAGGGCCTGCGAGAGGCCCGGCTGGAGATCGAATCTCCGCGATGATGCGATAGCGAGATGAGGCGTGGGAGCGGAGTCGGGCTAATCTTTCGTGCTGCGCGAGCAGCTCTCATTCGGAGCGCGTGTCTCCTCCGTCCGCTCTTGTGCCATCAAGAGGGAAAGTTCCCTCGAGTGGCTGGTCGTGTGCCTTTCCTCGCGCGTCGCGGCTGGAAAAAGCGCGCGCGAGGAATAAATCGAGAGCGCGATAGAGAACAGCGAGCGAAGCTGTACACACTGTGCCGCGCCAAAACGGCCAAAAGGACACGGTCGGTTATCCCTTCGCTCCCACCCTTCCTCCTCCTTTCCTCGAATACGCTACGCTCAGAAGCGTGCTCGGCGCTTTAATCAAATTATTAACCGACCGGTGCTTTCCCCTCCCTCGTAAATTTTACTCTCGTTTTCTCCGTGGCGCGACCGTTAGGTACTTTATTACAATGAGATCCAAACCTATTAGAGAAACTCGGAACAACCGGACGCTGACTGGCTAGATGGTTAAATGAGTCGATCGACGGCTCGCGCTAACTGCCTCGGCAACCAATAATAATTACTCTTTTCTCTATGCCCCGGCTGTATATACGTACACACGCGCGCGTACGTCATGTACGCCATTACTCATTTTCTTTCTTGATATACGTGAAATCGGCGCGCGTATTTCGCGTTGCGTCGTGCTCCGCTGTCGGGCTGAATTGCCATAACGGCTGAGCTACGGATAAGAGATGTGCATATGTAATTGTACGATACGTGTATCGCGCGCGCGCGCGGCTGTGTTTGCGCGGAACCCGCTCAAGAAACGGTCGTTTGTAGCCTACGGTAGTCTCGGTAACGAGAAGTCGCCAATCGTCGATACACGGCCGCGAATAAATGGCTGCGATAGCGGGCACGTACGATCGCTGTGCAACGTCAAGGAAAGATATCAGCAGACGTAAACGTGGCTAATTACGCAACGAGCACTCGAGCGCACAATGAAATATGTCATCGCGGAGCATTACGAAATGGGCTTCTGTGAGAAGCACTTAACCCGCGACCGCGCGCGATTCGTTAGCGCCACGTGGAAAGAGTACGACGAAAAAAGAAATTCGGGAAAGAGACCAAGTCCGTATCTCTGGACTGTCCCTAACTTTTAAATGTCCAACGACTAAATACTAAATTGCTTACGAGAGCCAATCAGGATTTAAGCCAACGGCACACGAGACTATTTTCCCTAGCGGATCGCTTACGAGAGCCAATCAGGATTTAGCCGCAAGAGTCACCTAATCCAAAGCCAACGGCACAGGATGCTACAGTCGTCTGTTTTACCGACACATTCGAATGTAGTTTTTGCGCTGCTGAATCTTTTTATTAATTTTTATGCCTAAAATAATACCAGGATAAGTTGCGGACCGCATAGCAGAACGTTTTTATACTTGAAACACTCGGGTCAGAAGTCTAATGAGAAAGATATTGGTATTTGAAATTTTCAATTTTTTAATCGTGAGCAATTTGAATTTGGCTTTATAAAATTACAAAATTCTTCCACGCGATTACAGTACGCGTAAAAACAAAGCGGGGGGTTCACGACTTTATATAAAAAACGAAGAAAAATTAAAAATATCGCTTTATAAGTAATTGTGGTTAGGCTTCACATGCTGATATTTTTA